TACAGAGCCTTAGCTTCACAGGCCCCAAGCCAGGAGCCCCTCCTCAGGTGAGCCAGCAGGGATGGATGAAAGCCTGTCGAGGGTTTCTTGCACACTCAGATCCAAGTCTCAGAGTGGTGGTCTCTCTGCTGGCCTCCCACCCACACTCTCCTGTTATCAGAAGTGTGGCAGGTGACAGTGTGGTCACTGGGGTGGGAGGATGTGGGAGGCCCTGGATGGGGCCCATGTCCAAGGGTCTAGCCAAGGCCCCTTCATTAGGGCCCCAACTGTGACTTTATTACTCATAGTCTCTTCCCTGCCCTGGTGGCCCTCATCCCCCAAACCTGAATGCAGAAGTCTTGGTCCTGGACTCAAATCCATGCCACTCTTCAACCTATGCTGTGGGTTCCTAAGCTGAGCATTTACCTAACAATCAAGACTTCTGACAGTCCTCAGTCCCACCCCCAAACCCTCTTGGATTTCTTTTTCGGTGGTTTCAGCTAGGAGGGTAAGCGTGGCTTGGGTGAGAACAGATAGGGTGGGAGCATGTGGCAGGTATGGATGAGACCTTGACAAAGGGACCCCAGACGAAAGACGGGGACCCTTTCTCCCTTTGTCCTGGAAACCCAGCTCAGCCCCAGCCCTTGCCCATGCTGCTGTTGCTGCCTGGTACCTTCCGCAAGGCCAGACTCCTCTCCGCAAAGCTGTGGCCTGCACCAGCTCCTCTGACTCTCCTTCTCTGCCTGCTGAGGGCCCCCTCCCAGCCTGGCTGTCAATCACAGGAGAAAGGGGTTGGGATTTTGTTTGTCCCTCTCCCTGAGCAGAGAATGGCTGATGCGGCCACCGAGCCTTGACCTGGAGAGCCCCTCTGTCCCTGCTGCCCCCGTCTCCCCTAGCCCAGACTTCTGCCCTTCACGCCCATCCCTGACCAGCAGCCCCACTCAGCCTGGGCTCTGGGTGCCAGCTGGTTATGGACATGCCACCTCAGCCCAGGCCAGGAGCTGGTGGATGCGTAGGGCTATTTTAAGCACAGCTTCTTGGCCTGCTCCCCTGGCCCCCAGCCCCCAGCAGCTCAGCTACTGGTCACCTGCCACCGCCTGGAATGCTGATTGGCAGTTGGCTGGGGTGGGGGCTGGGAAGACACTGTTAATAAAGCTGGGAGTGTAGGGAAGCAGCCGTCCCCATCCAGAGTCCTCTGTGGTCCCTGCTGCCACCATGGCCACCCACCGCCTTGTGATGGTCCGGCACGGCGAGAGCACATGGAACCAGGAGAACCGTTTCTGTGGCTGGTTTGATGCAGAGCTGAGTGAAAAGGGGGCCGAGGAGGCCAGGCGGGGAGCCAAGGCCATCAAGGACGCCAAGATGGAGTTTGACATCTGCTACACGTCGGTGCTGAAGCGGGCCATCCGCACCCTCTGGGCCATCCTGGATGGCACGGACCAGATGTGGCTGCCTGTGGTGCGCACTTGGCGCCTCAACGAGCGGCATTACGGGGGCCTCACAGGCCTCAACAAGGCGGAAACGGCCGCCAAGCACGGGGAGGAGCAGGTGAAGATCTGGAGGCGCTCCTTTGACATCCCGCCGCCCCCCATGGACGAGAAGCACCCCTACTACAACTCCATTAGCAAGGTGGGCTGCCTCCACTGGGAAGGCCTCTGGGAAGCTGCGGGGTGGGTAGTCGGGTGGGGGCCTGCTAGCTTGGGAGGGAAAGCAGCGTGCCTGTGTCCCCCAGGAGCGTCGGTACGCAGGCCTGAAGCCCGGGGAACTGCCCACCTGCGAGAGCCTCAAGGACACCATTGCCCGGGCCCTGCCCTTCTGGAACGAGGAGATTGTTCCCCAGATCAAGGCCGGCAAGCGAGTGCTCATTGCAGCTCACGGGAACAGCCTGCGGGGCATTGTCAAGCACCTGGAAGGTGAGACCGCCCTCAGAAGCCTGGGCAGGGTGGGTGGGCAGCAGCCCCAGCTGCTTTCTCATCTCAGCAAAGCCTCTAGCCCATGGACCAGGCCACTTTCTAGGTGTGGGGCTCCACATCGTTCACTGAAAAAGGAGGGCTGAGCAGCCACTTTTTAGTTTTGTGAAACTTCCCTCATTTCTGTGTAACCAGGACACACTCCACAGGGGCTGACCGCACTTGAAGCTCGCTGTGTCCCGAGGCGGGGCAGGCTCCAAAGGGGCATCTGCCCAGGGACACCCAGCTAGGAAACGGAGGGGCTGGGCTTAGAGCATCTAGCTCCAAATCCCGGCTTACTGGGGGCCCTGGACAAACCACCTCCATCTCTGGGCCTCTCCCTTTTCCGGGGTGGTGGGGAGCTCCTAGGGCTCCCCCGGTACTGACTGCCTCTTGATGTGTAGGCTTGGACCCCTCGCAGGACCCTCCCCCATCAGGTCCTCAGATTCCCTGCATGAGCTCCACCACCTATCTCCCTCTGGAGCCCCTCTCTGGGCAAAGGAAAGACCAAAAGAGGGGTGCAAGACTATGGAGTGGCCGGACCCCGGACTTGTAGCGGGGCTCCCACTGAAGAGCAAGGGCTGACAAACGGGCCCGGGATACATGGGTGCAGTGAGGCCTCGCCCAGAGTGACTGGCACCTCCACTCCGCCTCCCACCTTAGTATTCTGACACCAGGGCAGTCTAAATTAGCATCTGAATGACCTTAAAGCTTGTAGAGTCCTGGAAAGGCTAGAAGGGTGTGCCCCAAACCTTCTGCTCCTGGGGCCGATGGGCAGCTGGCCAGAGCACCCAGACCGGCAGGCCCCGGAGACCCAGCCCGCCCCAAGCCTGCCAACTCCAAACACGGACACCTGGCACCTGGCACCAGGGCCAGGCAAAGGGAAGGACCCCCTGCCTCCTCTCCCTTCTGGAGGCTTCATGCCAGCCCCATGACCCTCCCACAGCCTGGTTTGGGGAAAGGGGATGCACTTTTGGTGGTGAATATGAGGGGATTTCAGTGGGAGTCCCTGAATCCCCAGGGAACATTCTCTTAAACCTTTCTGCACTGAGCGGGGGTGGAGTGGCGCGAATATCAAAGGTCGAGCTGCTATTCCCAGCTCGGGGGCTGCAGGAGGCAGGCAGGGTCAGGTTTCGACCAGGCTTGGCCTCCCTGTCCCTCCTCCAGCTCCATTCCGCACTTGCTCCTGTTCAGGATGTCTAGAATTTACAGCACTTTGGAAACCAAAGGGCGCTGGACGCAGTGGCTCACTCCTGTAATCCCAGCACCTTGGGAGGCTGAGGCAGGTGGATCACCTGAGGTCAGGAGTTTGAAACCAGCCTGACCAACATGGTGAAACCTGTCTCTACTAAAAATACAAAATTAGCCCTGTGTGGTGGCGCTCACCTGTAATCCCAGCTACTTGGGAGGCTGAAGCAGGAGAATTGCTTCAATCCAGGAGGTGGAGGTTGCAGTGAGCCGAGATCACGCCATTGCACTCCAGCCTGGGCCAAAGGAGCAAAACTCCATCTCAAAAAGAAAGAAAGAAACCAACCAAAGTGCTAGTGTCCTTCCTGACCCTCAACTTCAGTCTGGCTGGAGTCACACTGGGCTGAGGGGACTATGGACAGCACCACTACAGGTCACAGCCACTTGGGTGGGGCTGAAGTCCCCATTTGTTTCACCACTGGGCTATTTCTGCAGGCTGCTTGGTCTAACTCAGTTACGCCTTGACCTTCGGCAACATTTCTGTGGCCTCGCTCTCAGGGCTGGAAAGGTTGGTGCCAGGGGAACTGGCTCTGTGGCCCATAAAGGTCATATAGTGTCTGCTGTGTGAATAGGCTGGGGACAGAGGGGCTAAGGACACCTATTCCTTCCGGCACAGGGATGTCAGACCAGGCAATCATGGAGCTGAACCTGCCCACGGGGATCCCCATTGTGTATGAGCTGAACAAGGAGCTGAAGCCCACCAAGCCTATGCAGTTCCTGGGTGATGAGGAAACGGTGCGGAAGGCCATGGAGGCTGTGGCAGCCCAGGGCAAGGCCAAGTGAGGGGTTGGGCTTGGGCAATAAAGGCACCTCCTCCCACAGCCTGGACTCCAGCGCAGCCGGGCATGCCAGGCTCACCCCACCATCAGCTATGGGGACTCCAGAACCAGGGGTGCAGCCATCCACCTTCCCCCACTCCATACCTGTGTCACCAGGGGCAGGAGCCTAGTACCCACCCCTAGTCATCAGGACACTGAGCCAGGGCTGCAACCACTCCATGAGTTTGCAGTCAGGACAAGCCTGTGGTGACCCTGAAGCTTCAGAGCCACTTAGTAACCATGCTCTAGAATTGGCATGCTTGGGGCCAATTAGAAGAGGCCAAGTGACCCGGCTCTCCCCATGGGGAGCAAGGACCACAGCCAGGACATGGCTTCCCAGACAGCTTCCTACAGAGGGCAGGTGGTCCTCTGCTGTCCTTGCAACCCCCAGGTGGCACTTTGAGCCCTGACTCTTGGGTGGGGACAGGTAAGCCCAGAGGGGGTCTCAAAGCTGGCAACAGTCCAAACTTGGGTCTTCCATGGGAGTGGAGGGGAAGTTCCCTCTTCATGGGAGAGGCACCAGGAAGCCCTGGCAAAAAGGGGAGAGGCCTGAGCACAGGAAAGCCGGGAGCAGGGTTGGATTCCATGCAGCCTTCACCCCAGGCACCAGCAGGTGACGCCTCGAGTCACGCACGTCTGCCTAGCAGCTCTGGGGCACAGGAGGGACCTAATTCCCTGGATGCTCGGTGGGCGCCAGATACCTCATGCCACACAGTGGGCCATCCCATGTAGGCAGAGGCTCCCTGAAGCTGGGAGCAGGGCAGCCCTTGGCCTCTCCCAGAGGAACTGGAACACAGGAAGGCTCCAACTTCAGTCCCATCTTAACATTTAGCCTCTTCCTGGTGGCTGATCATCATCAGCCGCAGTCTCAGGGTGAGGGTGCTCACACCAGACACACAGCAGAGGCAGACACCGGGCAGGCGGCAGAGTGCTATTCCCACATGGGAGCATTCAGGCTATAGCAGGGCAGGTCAGAGCTGCGAGCCTGTGTAGACCAAACTGGGAATTCGTGGTCCAAAAGCATATTTGTTCTTCAGGGACACGGATGAGCTGGGACAGAAAATAGGGGAAGACAACAGGCCAAGGCCACTCTGTGTTACGTTTCCTGAAGTCAGAATCAGTTGAGGCACACACTGGGGCCGGCAGGCATTGAGTGAGCCGTGTGGAGGAACATGTTGTGTCTGCTGTTTTCGAATACCCAGGGTGGAAGCTTGACCATCCGCATCCCCACTTCCCGTAGCCCAGGCAGAGGGACAGAGAAATGGAGTGGGGAGCACAGAGCAGGCTCCGACAAGACAACTTCCCTGCTGCCAAACCACCATGATCCACTCTGACTTTGGTCACAAACTCCGCTAAAAACAATTCTCTACGTTCACTGTTCCCAAGGGTCATTCTAAACAGTGGTGGCCACCACCCCTTAGAAGCAAGAGAAAAAGAAAAAAGGCAAATAAATGCAGAAGGCAGCCGGAGCCTCCCAGATGCCCCTGCTCAGGACCCTTCCCCACAGCTTGGCAGTGGCCACTCAGGGCTTGGCCACAGGCAGGCCTTGGCTCAGTATCCTGTCAGGGGCAAGAGCCAAGCTGTGCGGGAGGGTCAGAGGGATGCAGGAAGGATGTTTGGGAATCACCAGGCCATTGCTGCATTTGGGGTGACAGGCTGAGTCTGCCAAGTCAGAGGGAGCCCTAAGGCCTCATCCTCACTGGGGGTCCCATTCCTGGAAGAGTGCCGAATGTTCAACTCCCAGGCCGCCTCTTCCAGCAAGAAGAAACCCATGTCTGAGCAGGGAAGGGCAAGATGTGCCCTCAGCCTCACTCAATGAGCTCCACGTAGTTGGCAGGGAACATGCCAAAATGGCCATCCGGCCCATAGCCACGCCACCAGCCTTCGTCGATCACCTCGATGCCTGTGATGAGGTTCTCGGGGTCAAAGGAGATCTCTGTGTCGTCGGCTGCAAAGAGGATGAGCCCAGATGTGTATCAGGGGCTCCCTCCCACATCCCACCTGCTCGGGCAGCACACAGCAGCCCCACCCTGCTGCAGTACAGCTCGCTGTGGCTCTGGTTCCTCCTCAGAAATATCCTTGCCACGCTGCTAAGCCTTGGCCAACACTGCACCCTGTCCCAATGCTGCTCTGGTGACCACAGCCTCAGGGCACAGCCTCCTACAGAGCATTCCCAAAAAAGGCTAGTGTAGACACCAGTCTGCTCCATGGGGAGCCTCCACCCCATTCTCCAAGGCCTCCACCAGGGACGCCTGGGGAACCAGCATCCAGGCTTGGCCCACCTCCCTGCTCAGACCCCATGTTTTGTGACAAAGATGGCAACTGGGATTCTACATCAGCGGCCAGCAAATAGCTATGAGGAACACATGGGGAGGCCTGCGCTGTGCAGGACACTCCAGTGCCACAGTCGCCCCCACTCCAGAGGTGCTTCTACCCCTAAACGCACCACCCACCCTCCTGTCTTCTCTTCCTGACACCCCGTGGTGCCATCTTCCCATAAAACCCCAGACCCTCTTGTCTCCTAACCTCAGGACCCTGTGGTCCGTGCCAGCCAGGCCAGGGCACCTTACCTGCCTGGTAGTCGTACAGGGCACGGGCACAGAGCCCTTGCCCACTGAGCCCCTGGCCCTGAATGTGGTGGTCAATGTGCTCAGAGCTGGCACCTTGCTGCTGCACCTGCCCAGGGATGACAAAGGTGTTACCCCAGACTCAGCCCTTACACCCAGTCGCTGCTCTGCACCACATGGCCCGGGTCAAGCTGGGAGTACACAGAGGGAAAGCAGTCTACAGGCTCGGGGGCTGCTGCTGTCCCCGCCCTACCAGAGCACAGAAGCCACAGGACAGTGCGCAAATCCCTCAGCCATGGGCTGCAAGGTCCTCTTCCCACCCAGCACCTCCTACAGAGTGGTGCTTGCCCTGAAAATTTATAGCACAGGGCTGCTCCAAAACTGCATGTGCTTTAAAACCTGTTGCATGCCCCCAGAAAACTTGGCCCGTGATAAGTGTTCCTGAGTATGCAGCCCCTTCCTGGCCCCAGCCCCACTGCAGGAACCCACCAGTGGGGGCTCCTCGTAGAAGGTCTCCTGCTCCGGGGGTCCCTCATACACAGCCTCCTCTTCTGCCTGCAGCAGACATGGAGGAGTGCTGGGCGCCGGCTCCTCACCAGGGAGATCTGCACCAGGGAACACAACGGGTTCTCACTCCCACACATCCCCCTTCTCCACTGCTGTCCCCCAGGGTCCCCATGGGATGACAAGCGCCTTGCCTGTTCTAGGCCTTGAGACAGTGGCAGCTGGCTCTCTGCCAAAGTGGGTCTCTGGTTGGGTGAGCTGCTTCTGCAGGAAGGGGCTCCTCAGCTTGCCTGCAAATCCGGGTAAATAAATACAACATCACTTCAGAAACACCACCTGTTGCACACGCGCATGCGCACACCCCCCGCCCCCGCCACAGCACCCTCCACCCTGGTGTGCTCGAGGCAGTCTCATGGGGCTTGCCCTGGCTAGTGCAGGAACAGAGACCCCAGGGCCATGTGCTATGTGGTGACCTGGTAGACAGCGCAGCCCAATATCTTTTGGAGGCCAAACTGGTGACCAGTGTGGTTACTGATGAGGTCAAGGGCCCCAGGTGTCCCTTCTCTCTCACTCATCCCTGTCACCAATACATGTCACTAGCCTCAGAGAGTCCACATAGGACCCCAGGATCCCCCTCACCCTGCTGCTGCCTCATGGCCAGGCCCAGAGGGAGGTCTTACCCGGCTGAGGACTGGAGACAGAGGTGGTGGACATGGCCCTCTCCTTCTGCTTGAAAATCTCCCTCGGGTGCATGGCAGACTCCTGGAGGGAAGCACATGTTGACCCCTGCAGTGGGCAAAACTTTCACCACCTCTCCCCAGATCACAGCCCCTCCAGCTGTCAGTCCGGTAGCCCCTCAAAGGTGAGTATGGGGCCAGGAGGCAAAACGTGTTCTCAGGTGAGAAGTCATTTAAAAATAAAAAGTCCCTTTAAAAAGGGAAGTAAAACACAGAAGCCAAGGGGCTCACAGGGCCTCCCCCAGGACCAGGTGTGGTCCAAGCCCGAAGCTTCCGCCTTTGACTTTCCTCTCTACTGTCAGCTCTTGAGGTGCCCAGGTTCCAACCTGCCCCAGCTGACTGCAGGGCAGCTTCTGTCCAGGTCTGGGCTGGGCCCTCAATCCATGATCAGGGACTTCTGTGTGTGGCCAGTACAGGTCCAAACAAGGAGAGCACCCTCATCTTACCTGCTCATCTTGGTTCCTTGAAACCACTTCTTGCTGCTGCTCCTCCCACGTCCTGCTGGGAAGGGCCGGGTGGGGTACAGCTGAGGCACAGCCACAGCTTCTCACGCCGCACCCCTCAGTCCTCCTTGCCTCCGTGGGATGGAGCGGGTGCCCAGCAATGCCCCAGGGTGGGTCCCCCAGGCCAGCCTCCACCTCTGGCTCACCTCTGGGGGCTGGCCTCGCCACGCTGCTCCTGATAGCGCTGCTCCCGGCGCGCAGCCTCACGCAGCTCACGCTCCCGGCGCTCCTGCTCCAGCTGCCGCTGCGCCTCCTCAGCCCGCCGCTTTTCCTCCAGCCGACGGTTCTCCTCCTCCTTCTGCAGGGACAGCCGCTGCCCGCTCAGCCCTGTGCTGACACTTCAGCCTAATCCCCTGCCCAGGACTGGGTTTTAGGCATATGGCCAAAGACGGGCACCAGAGCCAGTCGCTCATTAGCCTTGTGGCTTAACCTACCCGAGCCTCAGTGTGACCATCTGTAATGGGCACCAAGGAGAGCGGATGCTGCACGAGCTCACTGCGAAGAAAGCTGAGCCACAGCAAGCAGAACACTCCCATGTGCCCAGCACGCCCTGGGGCAGCACTCACCTCTGCTTTGGCCCAGAAGCTGTCTTTACCAACCCTTTTAATCTCAGACACAGCATTGGTCTTCTGGTACACAGAGCCCTGTAGGGGACAGCACTCATTAGAGACCTGGACCCAGGTGGAAGGCCAGTCCCACAGGCACCAGAGGAGAGAATACACCAAATTTGTGACAGCACAGGTGAGTGCTGCTAGGACTGGAGCCAGCTGAGGCGGCAGAGCACTGCCCAGTGACCCTCAAGGAGACACATATCAAGATGACCTGAAAGAAGCCCAGGACACTGCCCCAAGGGGGATGCTCAATCCCAGACAACACTAGAGGGGTCTCTGGTGGTCTTTGGCCCTCATAGATGGGGGCCAGGGCAAGAAAGGCCCCCATACTCCACCTGCAAACTCCTAGACATTGGGCAGTTCTGAAGCAGGCCTCTGGCCAGAGGCACTCAGACAGCTGACTAGCACAAGAGCGTCCAAGGAACCACCACTGAGCCCAACCGCACATCTGTGGACGCAGCTCCCAGCCATCAGCTCCACACAGCACTGGGGCTGCAGGCCCACAGGTATCTCCCGTGACTCCAAGGGGCCTGCCCTGGTTTCAGGCTCTGCATTGATGTCCCCTTTAGTTCCTCCACAGCAGCTACCTCCAGGGGCAGCCCAGGATGTGCCAGTGCCATGACCTCGAGGGCAGCCAGACTATCATAGCCATGCATCCTGCAGAGCCTCCACCCTGATCACACAGGCTGGGCTCCAGATGAAGGCTAAAGAACAGCTAGTCCAAGCCCTAGGCAAAGTCAGAGGGCTACTCCTGCTCATCTGGTCAGTGGGCACTCCCCACAGCTCAGGGGTTACCACCTGCAGAAACTAGGCAGGCATGGGCCCAGCCAGCCTGGGTGCTGGGAAGTGCACATTCCTGGCCCCCCGCCCTCAGGCCCTGAGCAACAAAAGGACTGGCGATGGGCAGGCAGCACTCACCACTGGGGCCTGGGGCCCCGCGTCCTGGAAGCGGCCACTCTCCTTGTGAAAGCTGTAGTTGGCACCTGAAGCCTTGGCCACCTTCTCCATGATGCACTCAGGCTCCACATCCTCTTCGGCCCGTGCGTTGATGGTCACGTGGGCCCCCTACAGCAGGAGTAGCACTTGAAAGAAAGGCTTTGCAAGCCCAGGTTATGGGCCAAACTCCTGTCAGTCCACACAGCACAGGCCACTACTACACCACACAAGACTGGAATCAGGAAACCAGAAGGCACCTGTCTCGCTGCTGAAAACTGAGGCATGAGTTCCCCTCAAGGGCTCAAACAAACCAACTTGGAGCAAACCCCTCATACTTGTCCCAGTTCATGTGAAACCCTTGCCCTCCACTGTGTTATCCAGTAGTTCCTTCTGTAGATGTTCCCTGCTGCATATCAGTAGACAGCCCAGGCATGATTTGCATCAAAGGCCTTCCTTCCAATCAATGAAAATTAATCTTAAATGCCATCTGGAAACCACAAAAGACCCTGAATAGCTAAAGCAATCCGAAGCAAAAAGAGCAAAGCTGGAGGCTTCCTGCTACCTGATTTCAAATTAAACTACAAAGCTATAGTAATCAAAACAGCATGGTACTGGCATAAACATAGACATACAGAACAATGGAAACTAACAGAGCACCCCACACACTTACAGCCAACTCATTTTTAACAAAGGTGATAGGAACACACACTGTGGAAAGGACGGTCTATTTAATAAACAGGGCAAGGAAAATTGGATATTTATATGCAGAAGAATGAAATCAAATCTTCATCTTTCACCATATAAAAAAATAAACTCAAAACGGATTAAAAAGACTTAAATGTAAGACCTGAAACTATGAAACTACTCAAAGAAAACATTAGAAAGACGCCCCTGGACATTGGTCTGGGCAAAGATTTTTTTGGGTTAAGACCTCAAAAGCCCAGGCAACAAAAGCAAAAGTAATCGACTACATCAAGCTAAAAGGCTTCTGCACAGGATATGAAACAATCAACAAAGTAAACAGACAACCTACAGAATGGGAGAAAATATCTTCAAAGAAGAACTATCCATCTGAAAAGGAATTAGCAACCAGAATATAAAAGGAACTCAAACAACTCAGTAGCAAAAAAATAATAATCTGATTTTTAAATGGGCAAAAGACCTTAACAGATATTTCTCGAAAGATGATATACACATGGTTAACTACATATGAAAACATCACTAACCATCATCAGGGAAATGCAAACCAAAACCATAATGAGCTATCATCTCACCACAGTTAGAATGGCTATTATAAAAAACTCAAAAAATAAATGCTAGCAAGGATGTGGAGAAAGGGAAACTCTTACACACTGTTGGTAGGAATGTAAAGTAGTACAGCCATTATAAAAATAGTATGGTTTTTTGGTTTTCTTTTTTGAGACAGTCTTATTCTGTCGCCCAGGCTGGAGAGAAGTGGCACAATCTCGGCTCACTGCAACCTCCACCTCCCGGGTTCAAGAGATTCTCCTGCCTCAGCCTCCTGAGTAGCTGGGATTACAGGTGCCCACCACCACACCTGGCTATTTTAGTCCTACTAAAAACAGAACTACCTTATGATCTAGCAATCCCACTGCTGGGGATATATCCAACTCTGATGTTCAGCACTATTAACAACAGCCAAGACATAGAATCAACCAAGACATCCATCAATGGATGAAAGGGTAAAGAAAATGTAGTGTATAAACACGAGGGAATATTATTCAGCCATAAAACAGAATAACATCCTGTCATTTGCAGCAACATGGATGGAACTGGAGGTCATAATGTCAAAGGAAATAAGCCAGGCACAGAAGACAAGTATTGCATGTTCTCACTCATATGTGGGAGCTAAAAAAGTGGGTATCATGGAGGGAGAAAGTAGAATGGTGGTTACCAGGGGCTGGGAAGGACATGGGGGAGAGAAAATGAAGAGACGTTGCTTAACAGGTACAAAAATACAGTGAAATAGAAGGAATAAATTCTAGTATTGAGTAGTACAGAAGGGAAATTGTAGTTAACAATAATTTTGTATATTTCAAATTACCTAGAAGAGAAAAATTATAATGTTCCCAACACAAAGAAAAGATAAATGTTTGAGGTGATGGACATGCTAATTACACTGATTCATTGTATACACTGTATACAGGTATCAAAATATGACATGTATGCAAAAAATATGTGCAACTATTACATATAAATTTATAAAAACCCTGGGCCGGGCGCGGTGGCTCTCGCCTATAATCCCAGCACTTTGGGAAGCTGAGGAGGGCAGATCACTTGAGGTCAGGGATTCCAGACCAGCCTGGCCAACATGGGGAAACGCCATCTCTACTAAAAATCCAAAACTTAGCTGGGCATGGTGGCAGGCACCTGTAATATCAACTACTCAGGAGGCTGAGAAAGGAAAATCACTTGAACCTGGGAGGTAAAGGCTGCAGTGAGCCGAGATCATGCCACTGCATTCCAGTTTGGGTGACAGAATGAGTCTCGTCTCAAAACAAACAAACAAACAACTCTGATAAAAGAATGCCATACACGTTTTCTACAAAAAGTAAGCTACTGACATCTTCATGAGAAGCCAGACCCATGACCTCATTCACTGTTACTATCCAGGTTGAGCATCCCTAACCTAGAAGTCCGAAATCCGAACTACTCCAATCAACATTTCCTTTAAGCATTATGTCAGCACTCAAAAAATTTCAGATTCTAGGTTGGGCGCAGTGGCTCACACCTGTAATCCCAGCACTTTGGGAGGCCGAGGCGGGCAGATCATGAGGTCATGAGATCGACACCATTCTGACTAACATGGTGAAACCCCGTCTCTACTAAAAAAATACAAAAAATTAGCTGGGCGTGGTGGCAGGTGCCTGTAGCCCCAGCTAATGGGAGGCTGAGGCAGGAGGATGGCGTGAACCCGGGAGGCGGAGCTTGCAGTGAGGTGAGATCACGCCACTGCACTCCAGCCTGGGTGACAGAGTGAGATTCTCTC